TATCGCGTCCTGTAGAACCGGTATTCTGGAAAAATCACGCGCGAGAGACGTTTTGCGAGAGTTCGGTCATTACGGTATCTCCGTAAAGATAAATCTTCGCGTGAGAAATAAGGGCCTAATTAAAAATCAACGCCGATGGTATGTGGAAACCTTGATGTTTTCTGCGATGACTCCACTGCTCGATAAATCTACGATGCGTCAAATGCAATAAGCTCAAATTTAATTAAATTCCAGCATAATTAAACTCCTTTCAAGGCTGTATTTTTTACGAAAAATGAAGTCTGAATGTCTGAATTGTTAGTGCATGATTCTAGCCTTTCAATTTTTAGAGAGCCTTTAGATTTTAAGATTGAAGCTATTATTGAAGAAGATAAGATAATATAGGACAGAATTCTAAAATTTATATTTACACTACTCTTCTTGAATTATATATTTAAGACTTTTACTTCATTTAAACTGATTTGCATAATCAATTTTGGAGCTGTTCCAACAGATCTGCCCCGGGTCAGAAGGCGTTAAAATCCGATATAATTCCTCGAGTCACGACAACGAGGCATCTCGGAGTTCGGAGTCAACGCCGGTCGTGGTTTGCGGTATCAAACCGTGTAACGAATGTAATTTTCGCTCAGTCAGATATAAACGCCACGGAAGCAGTGCGCTCTCGCCATCGATCATAGTCACGACGAAAAAGATGAACGAGCGGCACGCCAAAGATAATAGATGCCGCAGGAGGACGAGCCGGCATAATACGCGAGAAATCGCATAGCCAAGACCGGGGAGGATCGGGAGCGTGCGGCTTTAAAGATCGGTATCCGCGTGACGTACAGCCGGTACGTGACCATTTCGGAAATGGGCACTTCGCGGCCGACGTCGCTGCCTCTTCCCAATTTGAGAAACGCGTTATGAATGGATGGACGACGTCGGACGTGTATGCGACGGAGAGGGTGCGCGGGACCCGAAGGGACACGCGCAATTTCTCATGGGAAATTAAATGGTCGGGTTTCCGCTCATAAAGCGAAAAGCTAGGACGATAGTGGCACTTTAGGGAAAGGCTATCTGCTATCATGAAAAGCGACACATGGCGTTACGAAAGCAACGGACGGCCGTCCTCTGGAACTCCCGAACTGCCTCCGTTTTTAGGCAGCTCCGTCTCGTGTATTTCCGGTAACCGGTAACAATACGTCTGGTGCTTTTCATCGCACGCGATATATTTTTCCGACAAAAAATGACGACAAAAAATACGCGTAATCGCGTAATCGCGGGGCTTACCGACGCTTGACGGATTACGCTTGGTGGAAAAATCGCGCTCCTCTGTATATAAAAATCTACACGGTACTCGTACTCATGTATAACAGTACTTCCTCGATTTCACTTCTGAAACTTATAAGGAGTAAGAATAGTTTCAGAATTTTCCAAGAAACTACCTGAAAGTTCACATATCAAATTCATAACTTCTCGATAACTTTTCAAATCTCTTAGATAATAAGTTTGATGACATTTCAAAAGTTGAAAGTTTATTTCCAATGTGTACAGATACTGAAACTATTCATATTTCTTAAAACCCAGTAAAGTTTATTCAGGTCAACTTCAATAAATATTTTTCATGTTTGATAAGACCAGATATACGTTAGGTATAACAATTCAAACAAGTCATGGCCTTTTATAAGACCGACTCGAATTCATCGATCAGAATTACAAGCCCTGAATACGGTTTACATTCATCCATCATTACATTCGTGATGAACATGGGTCACCGACTTAGTCGAGGATCAAAAGTTAATCAAGGTCATCCTCGCAGGTGCGCGGCGATGCAGGTGCTGGTTAGAAAATCGACTATCATGCTCTCGCGGGGTTGGTCCCCTTGGCATAATAGTTCGATCATACCCCGGAAAAGGCACCGACACTCGTCCCGTACTTTCAGGTCCGAGAACGAGTTGTGGCCTGAAGTTTCTTTCCGAAGGCCGAAGAGAAAGAGAGAGAGAGAAACGCGCGACGAGAGATGAAGAGAGCGAGTGGCCAAGCAAGCCATATGAATCTATGGTGGGGAGCAGACAGCGATCGTGCATGCCACTGACGACCACAGTTTAAAAGCAACCTCCGTCATGATCGCGTCAGCTGGCCTTTAAGTCGTCCTACCACTTCTTTTTCTTCCTCGTCTTTCTCGGCAACGAGTCGACCGCGCACACAGAACAGTTCGCTCGAGACGGTCGATCGCCAGGTCTTTCCACGCGGTGCGGAATGCCGATCGTTGAAAATCGATAAAAAGGAAAGAGCCTCCGTGCGAACGTGCAAAATCGATCGATGGAGGAAGTTGCAAGTGGATGAAAAAATACGAGTGAATGATGCAGTGTCTTTTGATCGATCGATGAGTGCACCATTTTGCCATCCAAGTGATCGAGGAAGGGAGGAGAAATCAATGCTGATCGGCTGATGATGATGATCTAACCCGTTCTCGATCGGGGATCGTCGCGATGAGTGTCAAACGAAGAGTGTTCAATGCTCTGGACGGGCTTATTAAGTGTGATCGTGCGATCGTATGCTCGGTGTTCTTATGGTGTCTCATGTCCCTACTGTACGTTCCTATCGAGGCCGCCAAGCCGGGAATATGCGTCATGGACGGCTGCAACTGCACCGTCAACGCGCATCGCTGGGTTACCGTCAAATGTGTCTTCTCCAAGGAACAGGTGAATCTAAGAACATGTTCTAACTCATCACCGCCACTGCGATAGTAATTTCGCGATGATACGGTTTAAAAATATCGACACGGCGAAGAGGCGTGGATCAAACCGAGATTATACACTATATTTCTCTCTTTCGTACCACATTCCACGGAAGATCTTAAAAATAAATTAATTTATGAGCCTGATGATGTACGATTATAAACCGCAGAATATAAATCATATATCCCCCTCATGTCGAAACATTCCTAACTAACTAAATCACAATAAAGTTCATGAAACATATAATCTGACCCGAGCCAGAAAAATAAGAAATAAAAATATCGATTTTCCATTTTGTTTCTTATTAAAAGAAATTTCTCGATATTTTGAAGCGTCAGTAATCGCTGTTGATATACAGTAATTTAATGATAAGTACGTAGCTTTAAAAGCTTTAGCGAATTGCTTTTTAAATATAGCGAATTGCCTTTTGCACTTTGTAATGACATAATTTTTCGTAATTTCATAAATTATATGCGAAATCGTTTATCTCGGCACGTCGCATCGTTGTTATTCCAAAAGAGAAGTTGTTAATGCACGACAGTGAAAGTTTACGGAGTCTTGGGAGAGACTTGGATTCGCCTTCTATGCGAGATTAGCATATAAATCGTTGGCCCGTGAACATGGTGGGAATCGCGTGTACGCACGCGCACACCCGATGCCAGTGCACGCAAGTGTATGGCGTTCGTAGGCGTGCCGCTGAAATAGGCCTGTAAAATGATTTAACTTTCAAAATAACTGTAAATTGATATTGCAAAAATTTAAGTCTTCCCTACATATAATATAAAATCTGCTAAATAAAATCTAACTTGTTGTAACAGGAGAAAAATGATATATATATATATATCTATACACGTGGCTATATCTGATATTGTTTCCGGCACCACGAGAGCACACATTGTGTTTTGTATTTCCGCTACACATGCAGCATCCTTTTACATTACAATACTAACGCTATTTACAATAGAAATGAAATTTTGGAGAATACTTCTACAGAAACGTGAAGAAAAAATAAAAGGACGTAGGACGGCCTTAAGTTCGTACCTGCGTAGGTACACTGAGAGGAAACAAAATAGTTCTGATAACTATATTTATAACAATTATAAAAAATTTAAATACCTGCAACTAATTTTTTAAAGTAATAAGTGCGAAATTGACTGAAATAAAAATATAGTCACGGTAATAATATATGTAAATTATTAATTGATAGTGAAATAGTGACTCAACTATAATCACATAGTTATATAGATTTCATGCAAATATAATATGGCATTACATTTTTTTCAATGTAGACAAATATTTTCGTGAATTAATGCCGCAGCATCCTTAAGTTAAATTTAAAAATAATACATTGATAATTGTAATAATATACTGAATGGTATACAATACATTAGTTTATCGAACAATTTACTACAAATACTACAAATGATTAATATTATTATTTAATTATATATACATTTTAATATATATTTATAAATATTATATGTAATATATTAATATATATTATATAGTATTTAATTAATATTACTTATTTAATATTTTCTTGATCCATATAACTCGTTGGTCTTATTACGACTTTTATATTTATACATAGTTGAGGTGCTAATTTATGTGTACAAGTTTCTAGTTGCTGGCACGACTTTTTTCTCTGAGTGTACGTAATAGGTTCTAACTTGTACCTTTTCTGTACGGTGCAACATGCAGCAGCCGTAGTCCCACTTGCCGTGCTCTCATTGTCAGCTGCTCTCAGCTGGATATCATCCACGCAACCGATGCAGCGGCATATTACGCCACCCGTCTCGTAAACCACGCAAAGTTTTCGACAAGAGAGACTTGGATGGAAAACGTGATAAAACTATCGCGCGCAAACTGTCAGTCGCGATAACTTGTTCGAGTGCAACGCCGTAAGGCGAGAAATGTAAAGTGGCATCTCGCTGATTTTGAGATTTTAAGACAGATCTTGAGTTGATACGTGGCAACGGTACGAGAGTTTACTATGAGAATTTCTATGATATAACGCCGTGCATTACGGTGCGTAATTCGATTTAGCTTCGGGTATAAATCTCACGATGCGTCACGACGTAAATCTTTAAACAAGACGGTATATCGTTCAATCAATTTATGACATAAAAAATTGCTCTTGTAACAAAAGATTGATGAACGCATTGTCTATAGAAATGCGTTCGATAACTTATATAATAACACAGATTGCAATCCTTCTCTTTTAGATTTTAAAGAGAAATGATCTAAACAATTGCTCGTCTCATTATAAAAATAATCGGGATGTCTGGTAAAAATCTGGAACATTTGAAAACCCTCAGAGAATTTGTTTATGCTTTGAAAAAACAGGGAATTTTTTTTTGAAATTACTTTTTTTAATATTCTATTCTTATATTATAATTGGGAATTTACTGATTGAATTGTTAACAATTTATTCACTTTAAATATCAATGCACACTAATTTTATGATTCGATATTCAGTATTAAAGGCAATGATTTCTTATTAAATGCAATTTAACAATTTATTTAATAAAAACGGATATTTATTTTAATAATTTTATAAAAGTTGAATTGGTTATGCATTTTTTATTTGTAATTTTTAAAAATAAAGTTTGAAAATTTTGTGCAATATAAAATATTTATTTCTTAGAATCCTTATAGTTTCTTCTAATTTCAAATTTTTCAAATTTAATTATCAAAACTCGATGTGATTCTTAATTTTATTTTATTTTTAATTTTATGTTTTATAAATTTTTATGAATGTATAGGGGATATGAGACATAAAAAGGATTGATACATAAATTGTGAAACACTCTTTATTTCATACAGAACACATCCTGCTGTCGTGTCACTGAAAATATTGTACCTACGTACCACTCGAGTGTACATTCTTGTTTCTACCCGCAGATTTCTCGTTCGTTATTGGCCCTCGACGAATTCAAACCTGATCAACTCGCAAGACTTGTGTTTCGTTTTTTTTTCCCCTTTCTTTCGTGCGGTCTCGATACACCGCGATTTCGAGATCTTTCGCGTACAAATGGGAAATATTAAAGATTTTGTATAATAAATATACATTTATTTATAAGATACGTTTAAAAATAGTTTTATTTTATCTAAAATTTT